GATTAATACCTGATAAATACATTTATAAGTTAAAATTAATTTCAAAGATTTCAGTCAAAACCATTGTTATTTCTATAAGCTAAGTGTTTAATAATTTTTTTTGCAACTTCCGAATTAATATCTTTTGAAGAGTAAGTTTACATTAAGAGTTACACTTCATATCTGAAAATCATAATTTTTTCAGTTTTCATTTTCAATATTTCATGGATTCTAGATGTACTTTATAATTTAAATTATCTAAACAAAATATAGTTAACGATATAGGTTTTAACTCGCCTCTTCCTGTGCAATTTCTAGTGTCTTTGCATGCCTTTCCCTGTGGTTCCCAACCAGCTCGGGCTCTGCGCGGGCTATGAGGTATGCTATGTATTCAGTCTTGGCCTGGAGGTGGAGGTGCTTGTCCAGGATACATCTTTTGATGCCTCCATATAGTGCCCCCACATACCCTTTCTCTTTATGTGGCTCCTTTTCCTCAACAAGTAACTGATAAGCCCTTAAAACCTGTACAATTTGACAACAGATCAATAAAGCGTAAATAATATATAATTTTTGAGTATTATGAAAAAAGTAATAAATAATTATGAGACTATTTATCCAATTTTAACTTAATTATATAAGTTTTGAATATTTAAGAAACATTCCATGGACAACCAAAACACGATATCAGATAAAGGTTGCTTATCATAGTGATAAAATGTCTATATGTGTATGTAACTTAAAGCATTCTTTTAAAAAACGTATATTGGAATAACTTATGATTTTAACTTTGACTTATTCATTAAAAAAAATATTTACTTAATTAACACTCACAAAAATTATTAGTATAACAAATAAATTACGATACCCAAACAACTATCTTAAAAAAGTTTTACTCATTATTAATAACTTATCAAAATAAAAATCAAAAAGCATGCAATAAAAAATAATCTACCCCCTGAAAATGAATAACATGTGTTATTAACTTTTAATATAAAAAAAAATTATCAATATTAAAAGCAGGGGCATCTTCAAATGGTTTATGCTTGGTCTAATTTTCATGTCTATTTTAGGGGTTGATAGGAGAGGACCTCTGCCAACATCAACATTTATAAATACTTATGACTTACCTTAGTCTTACAATCAGCGCAGAACCTATGCTTGCGTAGATAATTATGTAGAGTATCATGGAGTGTGTTGAAGTGTATGAGAGTTACATGTTCACGTGCGGAAGTTCGCATGGCATCCCATGCGGCTCGCCACGCGGCCCGGCCGCCCCAGCCCCACGCACCCCAGCTCCACCCGCAGTTCCCCACACCCCATGAACTCCACGCCCCACAAGCACCATTGCTTGGCCCTCCCGAGGATGCTACACCCCAACCGCGTGCTCCCCCTGCCTCTAACGAGTGCAATGTACACCGCTGAGACTTCTTCCATCGTGGTTGGCTTAGGATTAGACATTCAATCCCAGTGCTGAAAATTTCATGATTGTTTAATAAGAATTATTGATAATAGAGTGTAACAAATGTATGAATAGATTTCTAGTTTCAGAAATATCTTGAGCAGTACAATCTAATTAACTATGGTTAATAGGATTAGCATTAACATTTTGAGACTGGTACTTATTGAGATCTTGTATTGTTTTCTTAATACTGCTCTTTCTTAGTATATCACCAATTTAGTGAGTACATCTGTCTATGACTCACACTCAAACACTTTTAAATGCCAATACAGTTGTTGCAAGGATACTTACCTATGTCCATTTAGCAGAGTTGCCAGCGACTGTGAATGTGTTATCTTATCCTCTCTTATTGTCATTGTGCCATCCGGGGTGAGGATTAATGGATCTAATGTTGGATGTTCTGATTTACAAAGTTGATAGAATAATCGCTCCACACTGAAACATATTAGACATGTAGGAAATTTCAAGATTCAAGACACCATATTTTAAATAATTTCATGTGGTATTTGATTTTATTTATATTGGTAATATTATGTGATTTGCTTTAGTTTTTTATTGAGATTAAAGAAGGGTATTGTGAGGTAAGTTTTTTGTTACAATATAAATAATTACTACCTTCTTCTACAGCCCACACAAGGAATGCTTTGGTTTAATACATTAAATATGTCAGTAGCGTCGACCCTTAGAGCTGCTTTAAGTTCTTCTGTTGAGAGGATTCTATATTTTCGCATGAATTCTTCGTATTCCCGTCCCTTAACTTGTGGATTATCACAAATCAGTCCCATTGTTTTCAAGTCCATTATCATCTGTAAAACATAAAAATACAACAACAATGAATATAATGTTATAAATTAAGGTCAGTCATTGACCGTCACTTCAGTTTGCTGACTTTTGCTTCTATTTCTAGTAACAAAGAAAACAATTTAGCTATAAGATGTGCACGAGAAACATCAATAGTGCATACGCTTCTAATGAATTTTATTAGCCACATGACTTATATTTTGTTAATGATTTAATCAAAAAATCTACGTTTGATGTACTGTCAAAATGTAAACTTGATTACTTACAGTGAGATTTTCATAAATAGTTAGCGGTAGTTGTCTTCTTTTAATAACAGGATCTTTTTCGCTATTGTATATATCCACTAGTTTGGCCATTTTTGTGATCAATCACATAAAATAGCCAGCAAAATACACAATTATAATAAAATGACGGCTGATGACGGCCAAGTTTTCTCCGACTCCGATACAGGTCAAAGAATATACAACTTTGAATAAGACACGACTGCACGTCGTGATATCCAAAGACAAACATGGTCGTGCTGGTTGTTATTAATACAATTTTGGTACGTCTAGGTATTTTAAGATGTGTACTGTATCACAATTGATATTGTAAATAGATTTTGCATAAATCTCATCCATCCTATTATATATTCATGATTTCAAACGATGAAATGTGGTTGTAGGTTTTAAATGCTTAATCTGTACTGTGTTAAAATTACTTTGTGTTATATTCTGTTGCGTATTGAGAAATGTCAATGTCAAACGGAACAGAAGAAACATATAGAAAATATTTCAATAATAAATAAAGAAATCCTAATTAAAAATATTGTTTACAAATAATCTATCGCGATGTCAAAAATATTTACGCCGACTAATCAAATACGCCTAACAAACGTCGCTATTGTTAGGTTAAAAAAAGGTGGTAAAAGATACGAAATTGCCTGTTATAGGAATAAAGTATTATCTTGGAGAAACAAATTGTGTGTATTCTCTTAATGACGATTATATTTGTAACATATTTTCTCACTTACACTGTTATTTACTTTTATCTTACAGGGAAAAAGACATAGATGAAGTGCTTCAAACGCATACTGTCTTTACAAATGTTTCCAAAGGACAAGTAGCTAAAAAGGAGGATTTAGTAAAAATATTCGGAACAGATAATCAAACAGAGATATGTAAGGAAATTCTTGAAAAGGGAGAACTTCAGGTGTCAGACAAAGAAAGGCACTCCCAAATAGATTCTCTTTTTAAAGATATTGCTACAACTGTTGCAGATAAATGTGTTAATCCAGAAACAAAGAGGCCATATCCGGTGTCTATCATAGAGAAAGCAATGAAAGACACTCATTTTTCTGTTAATGTTAATAGAAGTGCAAAGCAACAAGCACTTGATGTTATTCAGATGATAAAGAAAGAAATTCCCCTTGAGAGAGCACAAATGAGGGTTAGAATTTCCCTTGGTGGAAAAGAGGCAAAGAAAATAATAGAAAAGGCTATAAAGCTTGCTACAAGTGTTGAAGAAGAACATTGGGAATCTGGTACAGCTAATATTATTTGTCTTATTGATCCTGGCAGTTTCAGGAATTTAGATGATATGATACGTTCTGATACAAAAGGCCATGGACAATTTGAGCTACTAAACTTGAAAGAAATGATTGAAGGCGAACAAACTTTATAAGATTTGACTAATTTTGTTTTCTTTATTCATTATACAGTACACAATGTAATGTAACTGGCTTGAAATAAAAATGCATTATTTTTTTACTTTTTGTAATTTTTTTCAAATAACACAAGGTAAAGGAATGTCATTTTTCAATAAAAAAATGATTCATTACTTTAAAAAGATGTGCTTGGGATATATTATTGTTACTATTATTGAATTCATAGACTATGGAAGGTTTGTGATATAAAATGTAGGCCTTGTTATTATAGATCTAACCACTTTTATCTTTATAAAAGAAATTAAGTCAATACAAAACTTTGTTTTCTATTGACATAGTGAAATAGTCAACTTTAAAATAATTACTGTACTTTTGATAAAGGTAATAACCTTGACCTGTGTCTATGGCTGATGGCTGATAAGTTTTAAAATGAAGTCATTATAGTGATAGTAACTTTAGTTGCGTTGCGTCAAGTTCGCACAGTACAATTCCAGCAAGAAGTAAATAAGATCTAAAAACCTTTTATAATCAATGTTGAAACGAATTTCAACGTAATATTGTGTGTTGTGCATTCAATGTTTTTTTTTTATAAAATGAATTGATTCCGTGGGCAAAGGCTTTCGGGATAATATTCCTTTGAAATGACATTTCAAAGTCGGTTTTTGTATAAAAAAAATTGTAATATAGATTTATAGTTCAATAATTTTAAAAAATAATAATTATAAAATAGTGTACAAAATAATAAGTAAAAAATTGAAGTGTTTTCTCATGAAATGTAAAAATCTATTCAAATTGTAGAGTGAAACGAAACGTAGAAGTGAATGTACCCATCAGCAAATGAATGACAAATTAAAAAGTTTTATTTTTCTTATATTGGTACGAGATTTTATTGATTGTTTTCTTTCAAGATTTTCGGCCAGACGGCGACTGAAATTGCAAGTTACTGTGATATATTTATTTTCAATAATTAACTCTTCTTGTCAAACCAATTAAATGAGCAGGGATATCGAGTTATGTCTATAAGTAATGGAAGGTACAGAACTGGGTGGCGACCAGCAATTCTGTTTGAGATGGAACAATTTTCAAGCAAATATAACTTCTCAATTCGAGGCACTGCGCGATGATGAGGACTTCGTGGATGTCACCCTGGCATGTGAAGGACACAGGCTGGAGGCCCACAAAGTGGTTCTCTCCGCGTGTAGTCCTTATTTCAAGGAATTATTTAAAGTAAGTCCATCTTTCACTCCCCACACTTTGATGTGTCACCATTACAATGACTCTAGTGAAAGTTGTTATGTATAAAACACTTGATCTACTTACAAATGCCATGTCTTGCGTTCCGGTTAAGTACTCGTGATTTCATTTATTTGTACCTACTTTAGAATTCTGTTTCACAATTTCTAATTACCTTATTATCATTGAATTCCATGTCATATGCGTTATAAAAAAGTAAAACAGAATTTCATCCCAAGCAGCTCTGCTATTTATTTAAAACAGTGATTGTTACAATGTGACAGGCCTTTCTAAAGCACACTCAAAATATCTAAAACTGACATTATTCTAAATAACATAATACTATTTAGTATAAAGTTTCTTTGTGGAAAGATAACTAACATAATGTACTTAAAATTAATTATGTATGTAGTTCTATGATATTTTCATTGTTCTACATGGAAATAGGTGAATGACATGTCTTGACACCCAATGAATTAGGTTTCAGTGCAATTTAAATATTTTAACACAACTTCTAACATATTTTATATGTTATACATAACAAATTTATTCAATATCAATTATATACAGTACACATTTCATTTTAACTATTATAGTTGAAATATACCATAAAATTCTTATTTAAAAAATATCAATGAGTTATCTTATTGAATATTTAATATGTGCATTAGAAATTAAGTTTGAATACCATATTCAATTCTCTATATCCTAACTTTTTTTTGTATTACAATATTAATTCCCATAACTATGAAGTACAACAATTATCTTGAAAAGTCTGGTTTCAGTTGTATTATATGAACTTTTTGTTTCTATGTTTAGCTAGTTTTTGTTTCACATCTATTTTGTCTTTAGTCAGAAAAAGAAAAGGTGGATAGAGGCTGTGAAATATGAAAATTAATAGAATGATAAAACTTGATAATACTTCATGTTTACAATATGGAGATTAATATAAATTAAAAACTATTAATTTGTTTGCAAAATAAAATATAAAATAGGTTAGCTTAGTATAAAATAAATACCAAATTCTTGATTGAACATTACTTAAAGTATCACTAAAATTAAGTAACCAAATTGTTACACTGGCTCTTGCTTTAGTTTGCCCTTACATTTGTCTTGCTATTCATTTCAAAACATCTGAACATGCCAACATAACCGAAGCATATCTATTACATTAACATTTTGCAAATTATGCAATTCAAAATTTTATCTTTTTGAATTACTGATTCCTTTAAATCATTATACTCTTACTGGCATGCTGTAACGGGTGAATCAGATCTCAATTCCATAAATTAGGACAAATTTGTTCGACAATTCCTTATAAACATATTCTGGTTTTTTGTTCTTGTAACAATTCTTCATTCCCCTACTACTCAAATTACTCTAAGTGATACCTCTAAAATATGTCTAACATTATGTTCAATAGTTATAGTTTTAATAGCCTATATGTAATGATATTTCCCATTAAATTAATGTTTATATGAACTCTATATCATTAACTGACCATTTTTTAATAGTTTTGCTTCACTTGTTATCAAAACGGTGTAATAAAAAATATACAGCTTTCTAAATCTAAGATAACTTGCTATTTCTTTCTACTCCAGGGTCTCTTTTTAATAATTGTGTGTATTGTTATTTGTTATAACTACATCTTGTTAACTTCTTATTCCCATCTGTCCCCTTGTGGGAACAGATAAGAATAAAAATTTTATCGTGCCACCTTTTGTGACGAGGGGACGGTTGGAACTTATTTCATTTCATAATGGTTCCATCTGTCTCCTTATTGGTGATGTGGGACTAAAAGTTGGGACAGATAATACTTTTTATTCTCACATGGGGACAGTGCGGGTTGACCGTTGGGCATAATCCTTAGATTATCCATATTTTGAAAGATAATAAAGATAATATTTGTTTTGTTCTGAATATTAACTTAGTCTTGTCCACTCAAAGGTCATTTGTTTTGGCTTATATTGTATGTATTTGAATAAATGCATCTTGTGAACAGTCAAGTTGTATAAGTGCTCTCAATCAGTGCAGCCGTCGCGATTTAAAGCAAATAGATATAAATGTGGACCTTATGATTCATCTGGCTTGTACCACAGTGAAATGTCTGCAAGATTAATTTACATCGCAACTATGTCTTATTCTCGTTCATAATATATGTGTATGGTTTAAATTATTTAAAAGTACGAAAAATGCAATGTCACATAATTAAAATTTATTTATGAAAAATTATATAAAATGGTTTAAATCTCTTTGATCAGTGAGTAATCTTAAATGTTTTTTATTTATCTTTCTACTTGAGTAAAGCCAAGGCGAGGTGCTAGTCATTTACAAATTACACTATTCAAATATGACAAAACAGTAGGTCACTTTTTGATAAGATAAACAATTTTAGTTTATATATGATAATGTATGTACATCTAAGTTATGTAAAGAACGACTGGTGGTTTCCCTTTATTGTGTACATAAATTACTTAGTATGCATCTTGTTTATACAACTACACCATTATTCTTTCTCTTATACCTTAGTTGTAAATAATTGTTGCATGTATTGAGCTATGAAATTGTTTGCAGAACAATCCATGTGCTCACCCTATAATATTCATGCGGGACTGCGAGGTGTCGCACGTGCGCGCCCTGCTACAGTTCATGTACGCGGGCCAGGTGAACATCGCACAAGCGCAGCTCAGCGCCTTCCTGCGTACCGCCGACGCGCTGCAGATCCGCGGCCTCACAGATTGCTCACAGCACAACGATAAAGTAAATACAAAACCTTCTATACAAACTCCTTGTAATATTGTCATCTTGTAATTAATTTATTTGTTCGCAGAAAGTCAATCGAAAGTCTCCCCCTTCCCAATTACGTAATTTGCTCAGCGCCAAGCCGTCACATTCTACCTCCTCCTCCAAAGCCGTAAACCAAAACGTCGAATCGAACGCTGCCGAAGATCACGAGAAGAGCGCTAGTCGTCGTT